AAAAAACTGATAACTGAACTTCATTACATTAAAATGTCTGCTCATCAAAAGGCACTGTTAAGCAAATGAAAAGACAAGTCAAACACTGGGAGAAAATATTTGCAAAACCCATTCCTGTAAAAGGTTTGCATCCTGAAATATAAGGAACTCTTACAAGTAAACGGTAAGAAAATAGCCAGAAAAGGGGCAAAAAGTGTAAATACTTCACAAATGATAGACATGGATGGCAAATAAGCACATGAACAGATGCTCAACATATACTGAACTGCAAATGAAAACCACAATGAGATACTACCTGTTAAATGGTCAAAATGTTTTAAACTGACAAAGTGCTAGTGAGGATATGAAGCTACTAGAAATCTTAGTGTTGGTGGGAATGCAAAATGGTAAAGCTACTTTGAAAAGCAGTCTGGTAGTTTTGTTAAAAAAAAGAAGCTACACGTATACGAACTATACAACTTAGCACACCCACTCCTAGATACTAATCCATGAGTAATAACATGTGTCCACACAAGATACCTATACATGAATGTTGACAGCAACTTAAAAGGGTGCATTTTCAATGCTTGTAATTTATACCTCAGTAAGCCCAAAAAGGTCCATCTAGTCAAGGCTATGGTTTTTCCAGTGGTCATGTATGGATGTGAGTTGGACTGTGAAGAAAGCTGAGTGCTGAAAAATTGATGCTTTTGAACTGTGGCGTTGAAGACTCTTGAGAGTCCCTTGGACTCCAAGGAGACCCAACCAGTCCATCCTAAAGGAGATCAGTCCTGGGTATTCATTGGAAGGACTGATGCTGAAGTTGAAACTCCAATACTTTGGCCACCTCATGCAAAGAGCTGACTCACTGGAAAAGACCCTGATGCTGGGAGGGATTGGAGGCAGGAGGAGAAGGGGACGACAGAGGATGAGATGGTTGGATGGCATCACTGACTCGATGGAAATGGGTTTGAGTGGATTCCGGGAGTTGGTGATGGACAGGGAGGCCTGGTGTGCTGTGATTCATGGGGTCATGAAGAGTCAGACACGACTGAGCGACTGAACTGAACTAAGAAGTTAAATGTAAAATTTTCATGTGATGCAGCCATTCTACTACTATATATCCCAAAGAACCAAAAAGTATTCAAATGAATACTTGTTCACAAATGTTCATAACAACACTATTCACAACAGCCAAAAAGGTTCACAACAGCCAAAAGGTCCATCAACAAATGAGATAAACTGTGGTATATCCATACAATGGATTAGCATTCAGCCATAAAAAACACTGAAGTACTGATACATCCTATATATAACTTGGCTGAACCTTGAAAACATGCTTTGTGAAAGACACAAAGCATCACGTGTTGTATGATTTCTTATATATGAAATATCTACCAGGCAAATCCATAGAGACCGAATGGATTAGTGGTTGTCAAGCCAAGGGACGGAAGGAGCAGAAAATGGGCTCATTAACAGCTCTGGGTGTTCTTCTGGGCAGATGAAAAAATTTTAGAGGCACTGGTTGCACACTGTGAACATCACTGAATCACACACTTTAAAATGATTAAATGTCACTGAATTGTATACTTAAAAATGACTAACTGTATATGATCTTCATCTAATAAAAAGAAAAAATGCATTGGTCTATCCAATGACATATATATTTATAAAAAAAGAGTAAAGCTATTATGTATTTTTGTTGTTGTTGATAACCAGTGCTTTTTTTCCCCATTTATTTTTATTAGTTGGAGGCTAATTACAATATTGTAGCAGTTTTTGTCATACATTGAAATGAATTAGCCATGGATTTACATGTATTCCCCATCCCACCTCCCTCTCCACCCAATCCCTCTGGGTCTTCCCAGTGCACCAGGTCCGAGCACTTGTCTCATGCATCCAGCCTGGGCTGGTGATCTGTTTCACCCTAGATAATATACGTTTCGATGCTGTTCTCTTGAAACATCCCACCCTCGCCTTCTCCCACAGAGTCCAAAAGTCTGTTCTATACATCTGTGTCTCTTCTTCTGTTTTGCATATAGGGTTATCGTTACCATCTTTCTAAAGTCCATATATATGTGTTAGTATACTGTAATGGTCTTTATCTTTCTGGCTTACTTCACTCTGTATAATGGGCTCCAGTTTCATCCATCTCATTAGAACTGATTCAAATGAATTCTTTTCAATGGCTGAGTAATATTCCATGGTGTATATGTACCACAGCTTCCTTATCCATTCGTCTGCTGATGGACATCTAGGTTGCTTCCATGTCCTGGCTATTATAAACAGTGCTGCGATGAACACTGGGGTGCACATGTCTCTTTCAGATCTGGTTTCCTCGGTGTGCATGCCCAGAAGTGGGATTGCTGGGTCATATGGCAGTTCTATTTCCAGTTTTTTAATTACATTTTAAAACAGCATTCTGAGCTCTGCCTATGGCTCAGTGGAGACTGAGAACCGTGAAGCAGCCAGGCTATTATGTATTGATAGAAGATTACGCAAGTAAATTTTTAAGTTGAAAAAGCTGTCAAGTATATACAGTAGGGAAGAATTTATAAATATGTACTTATTTACTTGGTTTTACATAACACAAATGAAACCTGTAATACTGCTTGCCTTCAGAGAGCAAGGTGAGTGGCTGGGGACAGGGCAGAAGCTTTTTTTTATATAAGCTTGTACCTATATACTGTTGTACTTTTTGTATTTTGAACCATGTAAATGCATTAATATTCAAAAAATTAAGAGAAAAAATAAAGTTAACATGGAAAAGCAAAGTACAAAGCTAATCAAAACAATTTTGAAAATTAATGGGAGATGGGACCTTCACTCTTGTAGATATTTAGACTTGTATAAGAGTAGACCAAAAAACAAAGAGTAGAGAAAAGTCCCCAAACAGACAAATACACTCACAGTATGAATACATACATATGCTTTCTGTCTCTAAATATCAGACTGACGTAAACAAATAAATATAAAAATACACACAGGGTAACTAGTCTATGAATGGTAGTGGAAAAATCTTAGTTATCCCTATAGAAAAATAAATGAGTAACTCCTACCTCACACCAAACATAAATTTCATGTACACTTGAGACACAAAACACATTTTAAAGAGAATCTTTATATCCTCTGGGCTGAGGAAAACTTCTTAAAGTGGATATGGAAAACACAGACCAAGAAAGTTTAATAAATTTAAAGTAAAAATTTCTAAATAGTAAAAGACATTATAGAGTAAAAAGACAATCTGAGGTCTGGCATCAGTTATTTGGATGCAAATGACCAAAAATAAATGGTAGGATCCAGAATATTTAAAGTACTCTTACAAATAAAGACACAAGATAAAGGATATAAATATGTACTTCATAAATGGCCAGTAACATAAAGAGATGCTTATCCTCACTGGTTATTAAGGACATGCAGTTAAACCACACAAAAGGTTTTAGTTTTACCTCCATCCAATTGGTAAAATATCAAAATCTGACAACTGTCACTAAAGATGTGGAACAAAGGCACCTTTATATATTGCTTTCGGGAATTTAAATCGACACAATAATTTGAAGACAATTTTGTATCATCTAGAATAGTTGCAGATCCATGCAGCCTATGACTTAATTCTATTTCTTGATATATACACAGAAACTTGTTGCATATGAGTATAAACAGACACATAAAAGAATATTTATAATAGTGGAAACCCGAGAACAATCCTAAATATCCAATAGCAGGAGAATGACTCCGTGGTGTTATATAGTATCCACATGATGAATTACTCTCAGCATAGAGCTATATGAAGCTAATCACTAAAAAAAAAAATGCAGATCAGAAAAAACAAACTATCAAATGATATCATTTTATATAAAATCAAAAGCATTCTGCAAAAGCACACTATTTTGGCAACCAAACTTTTCTGGGAACACACAATTATTATAAAAGTCATATGGAATGCTAAACACCAAAATTAGAATAATGATTATGTCTGGGAGCAAGAAAGAGGAACAGTAATCAGGGAAGGTACACAGAGCTCAACTCTCTCATTCACGTTTTATTACTTTGGCACGATCTGAAGGAAATAAGGTAAAAGGGCACATGTGACCAAAAGGGATTGTGTTCTATACTTAATGTACACTAGAACTGTATCATAGCTGAAAATGAGAAAAAAAGATCAGAAGGAAAATTCCCAAATGATAACTATTATTTCCTAGTTGTAGGTTTATAGTTTTACTCTTTTACCCTATGCATACTGTCTAAATCTTCTACAATAAATGGGTATGGCTTTTATAATGGAAAAAAAAAATCAATGAAAGCTGTATACTTTAAAACTCACCTGATAAACTCAAGTCTGCTAACTGTCCACTAGAATCCATTTCCTTTTCCTAATAGCCACAGACAAGAGTGCCCAGCAAGAGACACTGCAGCTAGAGGAGGCCATGTAACTAAGTACTTGCTAATGGAAAATGAACCATGAAATAAGGGTTTTCCTCTTCAAATTAGGCATGAGCCCCACCCTCCTCTCCTGGTTGAATCAGGAATGTGATCCCTGCAGCCTGAGTCAACCACACACACAGAAACGAGACCACTGCTCAGGACAATAGGGCAGTTAACACTGTAACATCTGGGGCTCTGGGAATGCTGGAGCCCACCTGCCCTGCAACATTCGCCGCCTCTGGCCTGTTTGAGACAGCAAACTATCTTACTTGAACTACTTGATTTTTGAGCCTCTGTTGTCCCAGATTAGCCAATATTCTAATTAATAATGGCAGGAAAGACGACTTAAAGGTTGTACCTTCCATTTCTTCTCTTGAAGTTACCATTTAAGAACAAAGAACTGTCTTAAAGGCCATCCAAAACCTACATTAACAAATCAGTGGCTGAATCTCTATCAATTAATCTAGAAATTAATGAAGTATTCCAATGTAAATCCCCAATAAGATTTTTCATGAAATACAACCACCTAAAGATTAAATTCATATGGAAGAAAGGTACAAAAATAGCCAAGAAAAGTATCAAAAGAACAGAGGAGATTTACCATGTATCAAAATGTATTTCAAAACTATAATAAAGTGTAGTATTAGCACACAAATGGCCAAATAGATAAATGGAACAGAATTGAGAAACAAACTCATATATATATGGAAATAAGCAAAACATAAAGGAAAAAACTCAATAAAACTGACAACATAGTTTATAACATCTACAATCAAACAGACACACACACAAAAAAACACCATCAACAAAATTAACAAACCAGCAATAAACTGAGAGAAAACACTTAGATATAATGTATGATCAGTATATAAACTGTATTTTTAAATACTAATAAATCAATATAAAATTACCCAGCTGAAAATGGGTAAAGGACATAAACAGGCAATTTATAGAAGAAGAAATACATATAAGCAATAAAAACAGATGCTTAATCTTACTAGTTAACTGGGAAATACACAAAATTTCATTTTCCCTCCATCAGATTAACCAAAATTAAGTCTGATAAAAGAGAAAAAGGCAGTATTCTCATACATTACCACCCATAGTGTATTAGAGGGGAAAGTAGTCAGCCACTTGGAAGCACCATTGGTAGGGTCTATTAAAATTAAAAACGCACAGAATTTATCCAGCAATTCCACCACTTGGTATCTACTCTTGAAAGAGTCATGCACATTTACAGGGACATATAAAAGAGTGTTCACTGGAACATCATTTATAATAAAAATTAGGAGTAACTGAAAAATGTTCACTAACAAAAAATGGCCAGAGTCATCCCATTGCACACACAGCAGGTTGAAAGAACACAGGAGACCCATACTAACCAATAGGAAACATTCTCCAAACACAACCTGAAAAAATAAGCAGCAAAGTGTAGACCTTTTGGAAACATGTTTACATTTCTGTATTTTGCCATGCTCCCCCTTCAAAAAAGTCATGATATCGGTCATATTAATGATCTTAGAAAAGGGTAAAAATTGTTATAATTGTACAGATATGCCATAAAGGTTTAAAAAAAAAAATCAGCAACTGTAACCAAATTTGTACTTGCTCTTTTTAGAAACAGACTTTCAAGTCACCAGTTCACTGCAGGACTGAACTGAGACACCACACACAAGCTTTCATCACAGGTGAGTAACTGCTCAATTTACACTTTACCTATGTTTGGACTGCCTGAGTCCAAATGCCAAAGTCAGTTCTGGAAATGTCATCCACTTAGTTTTCTGGTATAAAATTAAGTACCCTAATCAATTCGCATCTTACAAGTGGCATGTCAACTAATAAAAATAGAGTCAGTGCTTCCATCTTCAATTATAAAACAAATCAGTTAACATAATAAGCATCTGAAAAATGTAATATACTCAAAGGTGTTGAAGGGACAATAATCAACTTGGTCTTAAAAAACTTTCAGTAAGGAAGCTGAAGAACCCTAGGCAAATGTATGGAGACCGAAGTCCAATATTGATTCACAGACGTTTTTAGGGTCAAGGCTCCATAGCATGGTTTCCAAGATGTGCTCACGTATCAACTCTAACTGTTCCATGATCTGCCTTCATGGTAGCAACAAACCACACAGGGGGAAAAAAATAGGTAGTAACCTCACTGAGCCTCTCCGAATTTCCAAAGGGGAAAAAAAAATTAATGTCCAAGTCTCCTGACATTTCAGTTGGGTCATTTTAAGAACAGTTGGTGGCATTTCACATCACACTGACTGTGGCAAGCCTCACACTGCTGCAAGGAATATGCTATACCAACAGTTTGATAGGGGAAATATAGTAAGTAATTTCAAATAAAAGTCAATTGTCTTCCCTTCCATCAAGAAATCTGGGGATTCCCTAGTGGCTCAGATGGTGAAGATTCTGCAGGCGGTGCAGGAGACCTGGGTTCGATCTCCGGGATGGGATGCAACCTGTTCCAGTATTCTTGCCTGGAGAAAACCATGGACAGAGAAGCCTCATGGGTTACAGTCCACGGAGTCACAAAGAGTCGGACATGATTGAGCAAATGACACTTTCACAAGCTACAGGACACTTTCAAAAAAAAAAATAAAGTCTGAAAAACTGTTAACCTATTCTAACAAACTAGGGTAAACCACAGCAGAAACAAAATAATCAGCCAACAATAGTTTGATATTGTTTAGCTTTTTAAAACAGATCATTTAAAACATTTCTTCTCCTCCTACCCAAATGATGAAATACAGAACTAATGCTTCAGAGAATAACTATATTAATGAAACATCAACAAGTTACAGATAAACATTTTAATTGATTAAATATATTATTTTCAAGATCTTTTGGAAATCGCACTTTTAATATTCTATTCGACAGCCAAAGGCAATAAAAAAAGTTTAAAACCAAAAATGTTCTGACATGAACATGTGACAGGAATTGCTGCTATGTGAAGTAACATACACTGCTCCCAGGAACAATATTTTTAGAGAATAATTCATCTTAACATGTGCAAGGACAAATCTGTAATCAAAGGCTGGAAGAAATATATATTAGTGCCTGCTTTTTAAAAGTTTATTTTACATTTTAAATACAGTATTTTCTCATTAAAAAAAAAAAATGCCAGGAGGTACCTAACCCCATGGTTTCTATACCATATACATGAGAACTGATGGACAATGTGACAAAGCTTCTGGGTGTAACAGAATGAACACCTATAAACTGGGACTACTGAATCGAAATTAAAAAACACAAATTAAGCACTGCTTAGGAGAAAATAATCCAGTTTCCAAATAATCAAAAGAGAACAGAGTTAGCTATGTACAAAACCAGGTATTAAAAAACAGAAAAAAATGCAGCACACAAAAAAAACAAACAGCCCCTTATGTAGTGAACTGTATACACTGCAGCTAATCAATGGAAACCCTCCTACAAGAAGTGATTTATGATCAAAAATTTTAAAAATCTAAGTATTTCAGTAAGAACATATAATAACAACATTATGTGTATATTGCCATCTTTATAATTTTCTATCTATACCACCCTTCTGAAAACAAGAATCTCTACACTAGTCAATCACTTACACAAATTTGAGGCAACTAATCCATATTTGATTCCAGTAAGGAAAACAAAGATGTACCTCCTTCCATCAATGAAGACATAATACAGATTAAAGCTATAAAAAAATTTAAGCATGGCCATGTGCATTTCCAATTCTTTCTATTAAGTAATTCCCAACTGGGATCATGTAGGATATGTGCCTAAGTAGTATCAAATCAAAAGAAAATGGACTATCTCTGGCAGTGATTTCCATATTAGTGCAATGTTATTCACCATACACTGAATTATATTTAAATGACCTTATATATTTTAATTCAGTAGGTGTCAATTTGTTTACAAAATCCCTAACTATATGCTTGTGTAGAAAACAGTTTCAATTTGAGATGCTCTATAAAGCCAAATCAAGACAAAAATGAATTACTTTTTTTTGCTTTGCTACTGGTAGTATAAATACCAGATGAGGAGAAAAGGGCCAAGGGTTTGTGGAGGCTTGCTAAGATGGATGTTTTCAGTGTTCTATGTGTCTTGATATTTCAATTATCAATTAGATTTGAACATTCTATATTAAGATTATTCAGAAAATAATTATCTGTAACATAGCTCTTAACTAGACAGCCGTACCCAAAGCAAAACAATCTGGGTCATTCAGAATAAGATCAAATTGAGGCAATTTCTTTTCTATTATATCTGTGACATCCTAAGTTTAAAAAATGGTGACCTTCGATGAAAGTGAGGTGTCCTCATGTAGACTATTACAGGACTTCAAATCAGAGGGCACTGTAGCTATGGGTGCTCAGAAAACACAGAGCAGGCAGCAACGGACTAGCCATCAGCCAGGTGGGGTCAATGTTGAGCTGCTTTATTTTGGAGACTTTAAAAGATTTAACACGGAGCTCGTGTGACATCAGCATCCACTCGTGACACTGCTGGTCAGCACCGAAGGGCTGGATGAGTCTGAGGAGTCCCTTTCACCCCAAAGTACTAATGCTCAAAAGAGTTTCAAGGAAATCCTGATTCCCAGCAAGAGTCACAAACCATCAGACCAAAATCAACAGGGTAAACACTGACTGCAATGCTCCACAAAAGTCAAAAGAAAATTTCAAATTAAATGCCATCTTCCGCTCAACCCTAGACTCCAGACTCTGTAACATCTTTATCTAGTATAATAGACTCTGTAGTAGACTGATTTTGACCTCCACAAAGAGTAGGAGTTGTCAAACTTGAGGAGGTAGACTCCTCTCCCTGGATATTGGTGGCTGCCGGCATACACCTCCTCGTGACAGTCCCGCCGGTACACAGGCACAATCTCATCCAGCAGGGGCTTGTTGGCATTCTTTTTTGCTTTCTCTTCAGAACTGATGTTCTCTGTGGAGAAAACAGAGACACATCAGAGTGGAGAGATTCAGGAAAACCACACGTCTGCCTCAGGCATTTTAAACTCCATCCTTTGAGAAACTGCTCATTAGGAATTCTCTCAATCCACTCTGCAACTTATATGCATGTGAATGTGTACTGATTCCTTCTTACATCTGAGCAGCTGCTAGTACCAAGCACAGCACTCTCTGGGCCCTGGGAGCCCAGTGGCAAGCATCTGGTGGCGGCAGCAGTCAGCAACCTTTCTCCCTCTGTACATGAGCCACTGTTCCTCCCCCACCGTGCCCCTTCCACATCCACTCAGTTCCTAATTCCTCCCAACAGGCAGGATATCACTCATCTGAGTAAGACCGCGGAAAATGCTGCTGTGACCCTCTTCCTCCCAACAATATGGAAGTCCTCTCTTGTTTTAGGAATGGGGAGAAGGGAGCTTATGAGGACTATTACTTTCTATTGATCTAAAATACAGAGTAAAATGAGAGACACAGAAAAGAGGTAGACATTCAGAGACACTCTGAAAATTCAATCACTTTCACCTGGCCTGTGTAACCTAGGGATGATCCCAGTGGCAAAACATAGGCTTTGATTCTAGGTTTGCCCCAGGTTAATAGTTTTTTGAACTGTAATGATATGAGGTTAGAAAAAGAATACCTGTAGAAACCTGTAGGAATGAGAACTTACGAACCAGCTGAAAAGTCTTAGTTTAACACAGTAATATCAACAGCCTCAAGGAAAACTGCTATTGTTTAGTCTCTTTGAGACCCCATGGACTGCAGCCTGCCACGCTCCTCTGTCCATGGGATTTCCCAGGCAGGAATACTGGAGTGGGCTGCCATTTTCTCCTCCAGGGGATCTTCCTGATCCGGGGTGAACCTGCATCTCCTGCACTGACAGGCAGATTTGATACTACTGAGCCACCAGGGAAGCCCCTCAAGGAAAACAGATCAAGGGAATATTCAGCATAGATGTTAAAAGACTTTCAGGTTTGCAACATGGCAGAATGACTTATAGGCACGAGTCAATTATGTGATGACTGTCAACGGCCACTATTAGGAATTTAAACCAGGAAGGTCTAAGAAACTCTCAGTTGAGCGGAGTTAAGGAGACTTGTTACTACAATGTGGCACCCTGGATGGGACCCTGGAACATTCAGAAAAACTAACGAAATCTTAAGAAATATGGACTTTAGTTAATAATATATCAATACTGGTTGATTAGCTAAGATGAATATACCGTGGGACAAGGTAAGATGTTAACAATAGGGGAAAACTGGGTTTCAGAACTCTTTGTACTATCTTTGTAATACTTCTGTAAATCTAAAGCTATTCTAAAATAGAAAGTTTATTCAACAACAGTAGATGACAAACAGGCCCAAACCAGATTTGTTTTATCATAGCAATACTACTTAAAATTAAATGTCCCTCATTTGCAAATGAGAGATACAAGTCATTCTAAGTATACATTATTGCCCATAAGGAAATCCATGAAATAGATTATTGGGCCCATTAATTCAAGATCCAAATTTTGCTCAAAAATCTACAAAATTAAAGGTTATTAGGAGAGATGAAAGATGCATCTTTCTTCAACCTAAGCAAAGACTTGGGACCTAGAAACAATCGAGTGGAGAATTACAGCAGAAGGATGGATTACCATCGTGTTTTCCTCAGAGAAAACAAACTCCTCCGTCTTTCAAGACCTAATGAAGAAAAACTAAAACAATAAACAAAAAAACTGGACTTTGCTTCCATCTTAAACCAAGCTAAAAGGACCCCACATAAAATAAAATACACAATGTGGACAAGACCTGGTGGCACAGTAGCCTCCATAAGGAGACACATGGCAAATAAAACCATTTGAGTTAATCTTCACTGTTGTTACTTCTTCTTTTTTTTTTTTTTTTTTTGGGGGGGGGGGGGCTATGCCATGTGGCTTGTGGGATTCTCAGTTCCCTGACCAGGGACTGAACCTGGGCCATGGTAGTGAAGCCCAGAATCCTAACCACTAGGCCACCGAGGAACTCCCCTCACCACTGTTATATCATGAGTGCAGAGGCTTCAATGGGTCAGTTTAGTTGCAAATTATGTTACAGGTAATCATGACAGGTAACGCCATTTTCCAGGTGAGGCTATCATACATTAGTGCAAAGATCAAAGATGTCCAGCTTCTCACCTCGAGTGAGGCACTGAACCCTAGCCATTTTGATCAGTGTTCTTCCCAACAGCAATAACACAATGATAATCAGCTGAGGGCTCAGACTACGAGGTATCCTGCTTTAAAAGCTCTCAAGCTTACAAACCAGGAGAAATAGATTACTTCAACCCACTTAATAGAGAATTCTATTATTCACAAAGCTCTTTAAAAGTACAGTAATTTAAAAAAAAAAGTACAGTAACTGCACATACTAAAAACTTCCCTTCCCAAACACGTGCAAATCACCTGGTTGTAATGAGTCCCTGTGTGCATCAGAAAGACTAGTAAAGGGCTTAGTTCCTGTCCTGATGCTACTGAGGGGCACGTGAGACAGCAGAAGTGGCACCTGCCCTGCAAACTCAGGCCTTAAAGTTTTTTTTTCCTCCTTACTCTGACCTTTTTTTTTGTCTGGTTCAGTCAGCAGTATTTATGTGCAATGCTTTCTCATGCTGGTGGAACTCAGAATAAAGACTGCTGAGAACAAAATGCTAAAAGCGAAAGCAGCTCCTAAATGACACTGGCCTGTGTGTGTGCTGCCATACACGACCTGGAGGGGCCCAGAGTATCTTGGTGATATAACTGAAGCACCGAGATTCAGCTTGTCTATCAAAAGCGGACTGAACTTTTAGCCTCCCTCCACGTACCTTCGACAACTACCTCTTTAAACTTATCCCCGCGTAGTCTCTGTGGTTACCTACACTCTTCAATACGCAGTTCACTTATAAGTCACCTGAAAGGTTAGTTATGGTCAAGAATTGAAGGTGCTGTCCCATTCTCCCAGTCAGGGCACTCCTTCCATATTACTTCCAATCAAGTCAACAAATATTTAAGTGCTTATTAGGTGGATACAAAAGCCCTGTGTTCTAACTTTTCTGGATAATGACAAAATTAAGACGACTATCTTCTCAATCAGTAAGCAATACATTTTACAACCTACTTCCCAGACCAAGATAGTTCTGTGGGGTTTTTTGCCTACACAAGACATGTGGGATCTTAGTTCCCAACCAAGTATTCAACCTGTGCCCCTTGCCTTGGAAGCTTGGATCACCAGGGAAGTCCCAACATCAAGACAGCTGAAACTGTCACTGGAAACATTTGATTTTGTCTAGTTAGAGAAAATACATCTTAGAATAACAACCTAAAAAGCTGATATAAGAAATATAAATTCCAGAGCTGGTATAATTTCTTGCTTGCTCTTTTATAATTTTTCAAAATGACCTTGCACATTTGGCTTTTCAACACACAAGGCTGAAAAGTGTAATAGCATTCAGAAAGCAGTAAAATAAACTGTCAAACAGACTTCCCTGGCATTAATAAAAATTCAGGCCCCACTCACTCAGGAGGCTAGCTTCTCTCACAATTTTCTCAGCCTGAGGTCCCACCACTGAAACGTTTGATCCCTGTCCAGGAAGTTAATCAGGGAGCATGAGGTTGGCTGACATCAGAACTGCTACCATTTCTGCCAACGCACAACCCAGCTACTGAATATGGACCAATGGCTCTACCTTCCTCCTCCTCGTCGTCATCGCTGGACTCACTGACATGCACGCTGACAGCAGTGTTTGGAGAGTCTGTCCATTCAAAATATACCCCAAACCCAATGTCATAATTGTCTGTCGCAAATTCCCAAAAGAGATATGACCCTTCTTCATGGGTGGGTACTCGAACAGTGACCACTTCTCCTCGGCCCACTGTAATCACGGAATCCGCATCCTGCCGGATCTTCTCTTTAAAGTCTTTGATCTGGGGTCGTGTCCACATGGATGGAGCTGCGATTACTGGAAGAGATTCTAAAGGCAACAGGAATTACAAAGGATAAAGAGGATGAGCCTTCACCTGTAGGCAGCAATACCTGCATAGGACCACCTGCCCAGCCACGTGCAGGCACCAAGTGCAGGCACCAAGTGCAATCTGGTCTACCTTAGACTGAGGACTTTAAAAGCCTCCCCATGGAAGTCTCCCCCCAAACTCCTATACTTAATACCACCTCAGGTATTCAGAGGTCAACATTCCATTTTAAGTAACAAATGCAAACCATATTCTTAAGAAGGATTTTTTCCCAGTACTCTAACTGCCTATGGGCATGGAACAATGACCTTGGAAACTTCCTAGCTGGAAACAGGAAAACAGTCAGAGAGAGATGTGAACCTGAAATAAATTCATTTTTGGATGTGAACAAAGAAGGCTGGGCTTTGACTTCAGACTCTCTGTCAGAAAAAAGTCTTGACCTTGGAGTAAACCAAAGCTCTAAGGGAGGGGTTACTCTAAGGAAACTCAGAGAAAAACTTGGACAGGAATGGAATTGCTAGCAACTGAAGAAAAATGGGTAATGTCTTGTTACTGAAAAATATCTATGTGCACTCAATAGGTTTTCCAGAATCATTCAGAGCCTTTGACAAAAGATTTATTTGAAAATACTGGCAAACTTGTAATAGGAAAAAAAGGGGAAGAGAGGAATGCATCAAGGTATTTCAGTGTCTTTTCTGAACCTATTTATTACTTGTTTTAAAAAGACAAGGAAACCAACTTTCGTATGAACCACACTACCATCATCTCTGATCAGTCACTTAAATGGTCTCTTATTCCTTCTTACTTGGGAACTGGTACTCTTGATTCAGACCGCTCAGCTTAAGTGTCCCTTCCCCAGGAAAACCTCTGGTGACCTAACTAGCTCATATCTCCATATTATGTGCTTTCACACTGTAATGGACCTTTCTCTCCATAAAGTACTTACCACGGCCACAATTTACATTATATGTGTGTTATTTTGCTTCACCTCTGTAGCCCAACACCCAGAGAATCTTGAATGAATTGTTGAATGAATGAATGAATGAATTAGCTGCCCGTGAAAAGGTAAGTAGACCTTTGAAAATCTAAATTATCTTACTGGTAACATGGTACTTCTCTCAAAAAATATATTGTGAATATATGGTAAAGAGCCTACAAGTTGGCCCCCAGTGATCTTCACCTTGGGTATTCATGTACTTGTAAAGTCACCACTCAAAATTCACCAGGACCAACACAATATGGCAGAAGTGCTGACGTATTACTTCCAAAGCTAGGGCATAAAGAACACTGCCACTTTTGCCTTGGTTTCCTTTGCATCATGTTCTCTGGAGAAGCCAGCCACTGTGTTGAGAACACTCAAGCAGCCCTTTAGAAAGGCTCCATGGAGCAAGGAATTGAGGTCCTCCTGCAAATGGCCAGCATGAACTCGGCAGTCATGTGAGGGAACCATCTTGGAAGCAGTCTCTAGTCCCAGTCAAGCCTTCACATGACTGCAGTCCTAGACGACGTCCTGACTCCAGCCTCATGAGAGACCAGAACCACCACCAGTTAGTGTGTGTGTTAGTCTCTCAGTGGTGTCTGACTCTTTGCGACCCCACGGACTGCAGCCCACCAGGCTCCTCTAACCATGGGATTCTGCAGGCAAGAATACCACTGTGGGCTGCCATTTCCTTCTCCAGGGAATCTTCCTGACCCAGGAATCTAACCCAAGTCTCCTGCATCGTAGACAGATTTTTTACCATTTGAGCTACCAGGGAAGCCCACCACTTAGCTAAGCAGTTCTTCAATCCCTGACCCACAGAAACTGTGAGAGATACTAAATGTTTAATTATTATTTTAAGCTGCTAAATTTGGGAACAATGTGTTACACAGCAACAAATAACCAGTATATAAAATAAGACAACCCAAAGGACATCTGATTTGCCCTTCTAAACTATTCTAAGAGTCACCAGAAGCATCAGATTCACACTAAAAAGAGTGAAAAAGCATTCAACTCTCACAAGTATGTAATTGCTCGCAAAGCTAATGAATCTGACTTCCTGACTTTTGCTTTTCATGAGTCTGAATTACAGTATCTGGATGGAAGTGCACATACAACAACCACACCTTTTGGTCCATTCTCCAGGGCTTCTTCGGCGGCCTCTGGTTCAATCTCTTTTTCAGTGTTGTCAGGGTGGGCTTTGGCCTGTCCGTTAACTGACATCATATCACTTGGCGTAGTTGCATTCACTTTTGAAGATGCAGGAGAGGAAGCCCCAGCTACTGCTACTTCCTGTTGTTTCTGTAATGCTGCCTGTAAGTCAAGAAAAAGGGAAGACACACTGACTAGGAAGGCTGAAAATGGGACATTTACCCTGAGATGCATTCTGAGCCCATCAGAATTTTTGCCTCATCAAGTAGCTCCAAGAAATTACTAATAACCTTTATCAGTTTTTATCCTACCTATAATGAATATTAGTATAATAATATTCTGAGGACCACCTTCTTGTGACCTGAGGATCACTAGAAAAACTAGGAAAAAATTAAAGTAGGTAGAAATAATCATCCCACATAAAATTAATATAAGTAAAAACTGAACACAGAAACATCTGTTCTTAAAACTGATAGAAAACAAACCTTAATAAAATTCATATACATAAAATTTTCATCAGAAAAATTAAACTTGGTAGAAATTAATGGTAACAGAAGAAAATTCACAAAGGCAGAAGTTGTAAATGGTGAAACCTGGTAATGGCCCCAAAAGTAACCAACAAATCAAATATGGACAAAAATAATTAATAAATCACATCTTTATACACAGAAAAATTATCACAAACTAAAAACTGCTAATCAAGTAAAAAAATATTGACCTAAAAATTAAATAGGCTTTTAAATGGAGTTTGAGGTCAAAATAATTTCTTTAAAAAAATGCATCACTTTACATAATCATAATTAAAGTATGTATTTTCATAAACATAAAATTTAAAAGTCCTCTGAAAAATGGAAAATAGAAACAGCTTAAATCCAAAGGACAACTACTTTAGGACATTCCTCTCATATTAAAATGAATAAATATTAGTATCAACACTATGAGAAATACCTAAGTATTACTTACATAACTTTTGGGGAAACTTTAAATAAAATTAATTATAACAAACATAGAAAAGTATACAAATCACAAATGTACAGCTTGACCAATTTTCATTAGACGAACACACACATAAAACCAACACCCAAATCAAGACATTATCTGCATCCCAGAACCCTTCCTGGTGCCCCTTGCCAGAAAGTCCTTCAAGGGTAATGACGAATCTAACCTGTAAAATTACAGGTTTGGCTCTGCCTGTCTTTGAACTTTAATATACATGAAATTGCATATTATATTGTTCTTTTTTCTGTCTAGCTTCTTTTACTCAACATTTGTTTGAGAGGTTTATCTATAAAGTCATAAGTATACAACTGTATTTTGTTTGTTTGCATCACAATAGAATATATTATTGTGAAAATAGGAAATTTACCCAATCTACTGTTATGCATTAGGGCATTTAAGTAACTTTAAACTAAAACATTAAGTTATAATAAGTGAGCATATACTTACAACAGTTTAAAGAAAATAGGGGAAAAAAGCCTGTATAATTTCATGGGTTAGGGGTAATGATACATTTTGGCCTACCTGAAACAGAGTTCATTTAATGAAATCATTACATCACTGATCATTTACAAATCAGTTACTTAAACAGCAACACCTCTCTCTGCTGCTAGTGCTGGTTACCGAAACACTGAACATTTTGAAATACCTTCTTCCCAAGCCTAGATTCTCAGTAATTTCCACATCAGTTTTCTAAGAGTACCAGTTTTCAGAAAAAAGTACAACCAAAACAAGTCAGCACACTCAGAACATTTCACTGTATGACAGGAAAGCAAAACAAAAGAGGAATTTCTGTTGATCAATTGGTCAGCTCAAATGGTCCCTCTTCACTTTAGGCTTTTGTTGAAACTCTCTAGCAGAATGAACAACTCCCTACCCTGTGATCCCACTGAATATGAGTATACTTCTATTATACAAAATAGATTACCATTATTTATTTACATAATCTCTCTTCTATACTCCAGGAAGTTTTTAAAAGCACAGAAAGGCACAGGGACAATAAAAACACTTGTGTAACCACACCCCAAACTAACAAGTGTTCCCATTTTTTGTCATTTTGCTCAAATATAAAAATAAATACTTTATGGGGCTGGGGTTCTCTTCGTTCCTCCTCCAGTTCCTCTTATTCTCTCTTATCAGAGACAACCAATCAATCTGATAAACTGAGTCTGATCACTGCATTCTAAACTATGGCCTTCCAATTCTATTTCAAAGATTTTTGGTTTTACCCTATTTGACTGACTTTGTTCTCACTACGTGATAGCAACCTGTAAGCAGGACAGAGTGTATGAGCTAGCCTATTAGACAACTCTCTCAATACCCATCAAAGCAGCAGGAAAAGGAAGTGATATGCTGAAGTATAAACAGTCTCTGGAGGACAGAAATCCCTCAAAAATACCACTTATTATCCTGTAACTCTGGTTTGACATCCTTTTCCTCTTCTCATGAATTACACAAAATCTGCTGTGCCTCTTAACTGCTTCACTAATGCTAAAGACTCAGGGAAAACATTTTAGGTAAGGATATGCATTTTCAAGAAGTTTTAAAGAGCATGGCAAAATAACAAAGATTACTTCACCTAACAAGAAATGTGGGGCAGCTAAAACACAACACTTTTCCTTTTTTAAATTTTAAGACATTTTATTAAATTTATAGAGAGACACAGTTTGCGTTTTGGTTTTTACTTTGGCCTTGCTGCCAAGGCAGGGGACTTGCAGGAATCTTTGTTCCTTGACTAGAGATGGAACCCAGGCCACTGTCAGTGAAAGCACCAAGTTTTAACCACTGGATTACCAAGGAATTTCCTCACAACACTTTTCTTCACTCAGATATTTTAACAAGTCGTACCTGTTTTGTAACTGAAAATTAAATAAGAAAACTTACCTTAAAGTAAAACTTAAAGTTAAAGGCTAACTTTAAGGAGGCATTTTATGCCTCTGCAAGATGTAAAAAAATTAATGTAAAATCAGCTATCTTTCCTCTGTATCAAATACTTTCACAGAGTAACTATATTTTCATTTCATTCCTCTGATAGTCCTGTGAAGTTAACGAGACTATATAACAGGATTTCATATCCCATTCTTACTGGTTGGGTGAAAAGGCAGAAATATCAGAGCAATAGGTAACTAGACTGAGATCAAACAAGATAACGGCAAAGCTAGGACAGAATCCAAGTGGCACGTGACCTCCAGTGCTGTGTCCTTCCCCTCAACCACCTACTCCTGTGTGGAAGCAAGACTGCAGGGGCAGGAAGCCAAGGAGGACCATCAATGTGCTGCAGATGGCAGCGTTGCTACTGCACCCAGCAAAAGGGGCAAGACAGACCCAACCAAGCTCCGCCTTAGGGACTGCGGGTCCTCCAATTAGAAGCTGTCCAGGACTATGACAGCAGTTGGCCTGAAGGCTGTCCTTGAACTAACACTAATCACCCAAGTCTCCATGGTTCTGGGACCACGTTTAGAGCTATGTCAAACTGACTGGGATAACACTCAGTTCAGTTCAGTCGCTCAGTCGTGTCCAACTCTTTGCGACCCCATGAATCGCAGCATGCCAAGCCTCCCTGTCTATCACCAACTCCCGGAGTTTACCCAAACTCATGCCCATAGAGTCAGTGATGCCATCCAGCCATCTCATCCTCTGTCGCCCCCTTCTCTTCCTGCCCCCAATCCCTCCCAGCATCAGGGTCTTTTCCAATGAGTCAACTCTTCGCATGAGGTGACCAAAGTACTGGAGTTTCAGCTTCAGCATCAGTCGTTCCAATGAACACCCAGGACTGATCTCCTTTAGGATGGACTGGTTGGATCTCCTTACAGTCCAAGGGACTCTCAAGAGTCTTCGCCAACACCACAGTTCAAAAGCATCAATTTTTCGGTGCTCAGCTTTCTTCACAGTCCAACTCTCACATCCATACACGACCACTGGAAAAACCATAGCCTTGACCAGATGGACCTTTGTTGGCAAAGGAATATCTCTGCTTTTTAATATGCTATCTAGGTTGGTCATAACTTTCCTTCCAGGGAGTAAGCATCTTTTAATTTCATGGCTGCAATCACCATCTGCAGTGATTTTGGAGCCCCCCAAAATATAGTCTGACACGATTTCCACTGTCTCCCCATCTATTTCCCATGAGGTGATGGGACCAGATGCCATAATCTTAGTTTTCTGAATGCTGAGTTTTAAGCCAACTTTTTCACTCTCCTCTTTCACTTTCATCAAGAGGCTTTTTAGTTCCACTTCACTCTCTAAATCAAATCCCTTATGACTATACAGTGGGATAACACTAGGTCCATACAAATTCCAAATACACTTATGACAATGTAATAGAGGCCACATCATCTGTTGCTTTGATATTATATACTTTCTTTCATAACTGCCACTGCAATGTTAAAAATCTCTTTTAATAAAGGTCACCTAAAAGTTACTTTATACCTGAGAGGCTAACTAATGCAAAAGTCATCAGCAACTGTTAAACAAAGAACTTTCGTTCCAGTGAAACTAAAAACCCTTTCTAAGGCTGAATGTGGGTGTTAGCTATCGTACCTGTTGCTGTGCAAGCTGGACTTGATACAACTGCTGCATATACTGCTGATAGTGTTGCTCCTGCAACTGGCGGATGAGAATCTGCTGCTGCTCGTAGTTCCCTGGATACTGTTGGGCTGCGTACTGCTGGAACTGCACGGCAGTCTGGGAGTTTAAAGCTGCCATTATCTGCTGCCTAAAAACATCAAAAAATATACACTAGTCTGACTACAGGAGATTGACTGTTCATGACAAAATAAAATGTCTTTGTTATTTCGTTTTATAACGAATACCTCTTAAAAATGATTAAGGTAGTAATGTATACCAAGCAGCATGTGTCCAAGGTCCAGAGAAAGATTTAAGAAAATAAACTTGGCTTCTAATTTTTCACTTAGGTTTTTCAAGGCCAACTTGAGATGGAAAAGGAGAAAAATAAGCATATCATTGTCACTGCCATCATCGTCATCACCATTTATTGTGCCCTTACAATGTGCCATGCAGTTTTTTCAGGGTGCTTCAATGTGCTAACCCACCTAGTTCTCACAACCACCCTGTGAGGTAGGGTTTCACAAAGCATAAAATGGAGGATTTCAGTGACTTGCCCAAGATGACAGTAGACGCCAGAGCCAGGATTCAAGTCTAGGCAGTCTGGCTCCAGCCTATAGCTTTTGCTGTAAGAAAAATGGACTGTCATTTATTACAGAGATCAGATATTTAACTGCTGGCCATGGTTTTTCTACATAAATATATGTAAAGTAGTAAAAGGCTGAATAATAGCTAAAAGATGTTACAGGTGGCTCTGGTAAGTACAAATAAAGCCAGTAGAAATCTGAGTACCTTGGTATTTAACGAAAAGCCAGTCTTAAACAGGAACACTGAAGACAATATCTGGGTACAGTGGTCTAGAGATACTGATTTCTGTGAATTATTACTATTCCGTTTTTCCCACACAGAGGAACTGTGTGCTTAACTCAGTCACACGACCAACAGTAACGCCCTCTAAGCAATCTGTTAATAGGTAATAACAAAGCTAAATCTCACAAAGTCCCAAACAGAACATGACACTGGGTCCAACCAGGGCACCCCTCTCCCCCAAAACAGAGTAGTACTCATAGCCTCTCTCCAAGGTAGACACAGACCCTGAGTCAGTTTGAAGTTTTTCTGAGGAAGTACTCAGAAACAATGCGGAGAAAACAAAGGACTTGCATGCTGTCTGGTTGAATCTACATGTTACCCACCTCTAGAACCATAGGCCTTCTCTTTGTTTTATGGGCATTAATCCCTTCCTCCTATTCCCACAGCTCCCTCCTGAACCAATCCCTTCTGAGACACTGGCTCTCACAGCCCTCACTGAATAAGAAATGGCTTCAGCTCCCAGGTCCTGTTCTAGGGGACTAGGAACAGACATCTGACATAGGCTGAACCAAGCGATTCTCTGGCCTGGGAATTTTTAACTGGGTTTCTCGTACTCTAGCCAGTCTCTATCAGATGCATGAAAACAAAGACCACATAAATCCAGCCTGAGACAGCCTTGCACATGCCAAAGCATAGTGACAGTTTGCAGAGAAGAGGAAGAATGCATCAGAGACACAGCTGAGAGAAGCAAGGACAGGAGATCATTATGGACCCAGAGACAGAGAGCAAGCAAGCCACCTCAGCTCCCCTTCTAGCGTCTTGGGTTCTGGGAGCAAATCCCCCATCTTTCTTCTTTTTGCAACCAAACGATGCTTAAGATGAGGCCCTCACCTTTGTAACACATCATTGGTACAAATGGCAATAGCTAATGCTGAGCTACCTCCCAGGCGAACAAACAGAGAATTATTCCAAGGCACGAAAGGTAAACCGTCAAGCACAACAGTGTGGTGGTCCACTTCTCACTCTTAAACAATACATGACAAGCGTACTTCTGCTGCTCCAGCCGAAGTCTCTCTTCTTCTATCCTCCTCCTCTCCTCTTCCTCCCGTCTAAGCCTTTCTTCTTCTTCTCTCCTACGTTTCTCTTCCTCCTTTTGCAGACGCTCTCGTTCTTCCTCTTCACGCCGCCTTCGCTCCTCCTCCTCCTTCCTACGAGGTAACGGACAGACAGAATGAACCCTAAACAAAGAATCCTATATAAAAATAACTTAAGACTATTTCCCAGTGAAGATTGACCCAGGTTTCTTGGAGAAACATGTGATAATTTTATCACTGAAATGAACATTTCCAAGAGGGGAAATTTATCATATGGAATCAACCTCTAACTATACAGATCACGACAAGAACTATGACTGCTACACGGCAACAGAAAAAGGAGTCTATCAGTAAGGTACCACTTAAACCATTACAATACCTCGAAGGCTCCCATCTAAGATATGCTGACAGCATCACAAGCTTTTCCTTCATACTACCTGCTGTCATTGCAAATAAATTTATGTTGATAAATTTAGCAATATATCTGCCTTATTCATTGAAGTACATGTTACGTGAGGGCAGAGACCGCCTGTCTCACACAACTGTAGTCTGAGGGTTTATATAATCATGTATAATTTCTCAAATTTAAAAAAAAATTAAAGCTTTAAATTAAAAAAAAGAAAAGAACAGTTGGACATCTGGGTGCAGCTAGATTTTTACCTAGCTCTCACCCACTCCTGCAACCCCTTTCTCAAGGGAGAAAAGATACACTAGGAATGAATGCCACACAGGTCACAGAGTGAGGAGGATGACAGGGAGGATGAAGATATGAAGAAAGAGCAGACTTCCGAAGTTCTCAGAGAAGACACCATTTCATGGTCCTACCATGAGAAATGTCTAGATTACCCCACTTATCTCCCCAAACTCCTATAAGTGATTAACACACCTGAGTCACAACCAACCAAGACTCAAAATACAGCAGTAACACGACTGAGTTTCAATATGTGACAGTACACAGGGCAAGATGTTCCAAAAGCCAAAGCGTAAGCTTCAGGATAGAGGAAGTCTTATCCTAAATGCTTTAAAAGAATTCTATATGGACCTCATCTCATGACAGGAGTATATTTTTAAAAGGAAAAACACAGTTTTACATGTTCAGTAGTAACTTAAATATTCAATTTATCATTATAAAATAATTTAAAAAGCAGCATATACTCCTTTCAAAGACACAACTCACTACACAATGGATTACAGCACATAGATCAAGTCTCCAGTAAAGGAATCTCCTTCCATTCTAATAAGAAAACTTTTTCTTTGGATAACAACTATATTCCTTTGGATAAATATTTTCTGGAAATATATTAGGATATGTTCTATTATTTATTTTATTTTGGTTCTATCCTTTTAAAGACAGACAAACTATACCCAGTGCTCTGTCTATTAAAAACTCAGGAGTTATAACTCTAAACATAAATATAGTACATGTTATAAAACAGTGATAGTTTACTTTCACATTAAATGACCCATGGCTGCCATATTTTTATAATTCTTACAATTATTTTTTGTGGTTTCTGTCTTTTCCTTCACTGTCAGGCTGTTTTCCCTTCTAATATGTTATTTCCAGGATAAGGTGGGAAATCAGGGAACCGACTGTTTCTAAAGCAAGAAAAACATAATTTGAGGGAAAATCAGCTTTATAGAATTTTTCTTTAAAGGTAACTTAGTTTATCTAACCATTCTGTCATTATAGATGCTGACTGCTAGCATTTTTTGTTTTTTTGCTGTTATCTACAGAATTATAATGAACATCCTCCAAAATGAAGTGAAACTGTTGTTGCTTAGTCGTGTCCGACTCTCTGCAACCCCATGGGCTGTAGTCTGCCAGGCTCCTCTGACCGTGGGATTTTCCAGGCAGCCTACTGGAGGGGATTGCCATTTCCTTCTCCAGGGGAATCTTCCCAACCCAGGGACTGAATCCAAGTTTCCTGCACTGTAGGCAGAGTCTTTACCATCTGAGCCACTAGGCTCATATTCTGGTATTTCTGTAGAATGGGTTTAAGTGGGATTGCCAGGTAGCATTTGAACTTTTAATAAATTCTACAAAATTGTCCCCTAAAAAGTTTGTAATTATTTGCAATTGTTTGTAAATATTTACACTCACTACAAACATAGTATGTGAAAATGTTCATTTCAGGATGTTCTCACAGTGACCGCTATAAAATGGCACCTCATTTTTTCCTTTTAATCACGAACTTTTGGAACAATGTATTCACCATTTTATTCTATGACTTTCTGCCATTTTTCAGGCAACTTCATAATTTCACCTTTTCTTTTTTTTTTCTGGGAAAATACTCATTTCTTTATTGGGACAGTGAGAAAATAAAGTCCATTAAACAAAAAATGAAGTGGAAGTGTACATAAGGCAGGAAAATTCATCTCTAAAAATAGAGGAAAAAAGAAAAATAACTATCCATACTAAGATCATCTCTTTAGGAGCTTCCATTACTAGGAACTACCAATTCCATCAGTTTCTCATACCCCAGGATGTTGAATGTTATCTAGTATTTTGCAGCACTTGTAGAAAATAAATCATTTTTCTTCCTTCCTTTTTATGTTGATATATTGAATTATAATCAATATTCTAAGTGCTAAATCAGTACTGCAAAACTAGTTAGGAAGTGCTTGATATTTTCCTCAGTGTGGAAGATTTAGAGTACAATTTGTGCTATTTCAATTTAAATGTTGGAAGAGTTTATCAGGAAAGATTAAGATATTTATGTCAAGTTAGTATACTGACATAAACATGGTCATGGTATTTTTTTTCATATTTACTTCTTAACATCTGTAGGATGTGTAGTGATGTTTCTTTTTTCATCTCTCAGAATTATATTTTATGTATTCTCTCTTCTTGATCATGTCTACCAGAGTTTAATCATTTATCAGTCTTTTAAAGCAGTCAACTTTGGACTTCATTGATCTCTCAATTCTACATTTAAATTTTTGCTTTCTTGTCCTATCTTCATTATTTCCTTAATTTCAAAAGCTTGATTTGCAGGGTATTCTCCCTTCTTGAGATGAATGAAGGGAACGTTTATTTTCATCCATTTTGTCTTCCAGTATATGATTTTTTTTTCATATTTTTATTTTTTTTCATTTATTTTTATTAGTTGGAGGCTAATTACTTCACAACATTGCAGTGGGTTTTGTCATACATTGACATGAATCAGCCATGGAGTTACATGTATTCCCCATCCCGATCCCCCCTCCCACCTCCCTTTCAAAACTTTTTCTTTTTGAGCAAAGAACTGTTTCAGATGCCTTTATAGCATTATTTTCATTACCTAGAAATTTCAGATTGTTCTTGAAAATATAACTGCTAGATAAAAAAAGTGTTAACTATAATTCTGCTGAATTCACAATCATGACAGAAAATCCCATAAGCATAAACAGTGCATTCAATAGCACCCCCTGCAATCTCTGGAAGTAATTAATGAGCTATCTGGAAGCCACAGCCAATATGTAATGCCTACCTAAGGCATTCCATGTAGCACAGCTGATAACCATGATATAGAATATGAATATTCTAGAAAAACAAGAGAGGCAGCAGCAAAGGGTGTGTGAAACCAGAGTGTAGGAGGAGGGGTGGCTGAGCTTACTGTGTTTGCTCAGAAACTTAGTGCAGTAGCACAAAATGAATGCTGCCGTGATGAATGGGTGGTTCCTTTTAAAGGTATAGCCAGACGGAAGCAGTAAACCCTCTCCCTTCAAAACTCTTAATAAAAGCACCTGCTCACATCAGAAAGTTTTGAGCAACTGCCATAAGAAGTGGGGACCCGACAGAAAGTAAGACACCTGACTGAGAACACACACTCCATAAAGCAAAAGTATCAGGATACTACGCAGCGGACAGGCTGCCCAAGGATCAAGTATTGTGTGCTCTCAAACTTCACCTTTTTTTTTCTTGCTCTTCCTTCTCTATTTTGTGGGATGCAACGTATGTTGAAAAGAGATGGCAACACCTATTCAGGAGCTTGACGAACTCTACCATGGCATCTTCTTTAGACATGTTTCCCAGGGCTGCCCATTCTCTCCTGTAAAGAACAACAAGAAAGTTACTTGCTACTCTTAAAAGAGTAAGAATTTGATTTCATTTAAACCTAAATACAAACAAGTCTCAATTATAACTAAAATGAAGAATGACTCGACTGTACAGATTCAAAACTTCAACATGTATGGACTAGTTTACTAAACTAGATAACCTACATACAAACCAAACCTATACCATAATTTAACTGCATTGCTGATAATTTCCATACCAGTAAAAGGGTATCAAAGTTCTACTTTTCTTATAGTTTAGCCTTAATTGAATAAAATGCTTAATATATTCTTTTCTGTCACAACTCTGTACGTGTCCCAACAAGGGAATCAACTACCATACTGTAAATTGCTGTTGTAATATTATTTTGGAAGAATCAAATGACGCTGTCTTATGTTCATAATCAGCTGAGTAAACATCTTTCACAATATTTAGCCATAAACATCTCCAAACCAAAAACAGATAAACATCTGACGACTCCAGAAGCTGCAAGCAAAAATGTTTGCTTTGCTTTTATTCTAAAGCTAATGAGCCAGCTATTTACATCTGAACTAATTTACTCTGTACCATTCTCTCCACTCCAATATTCTTGCCTGGAGAATTCCATGGACAGAGGAGCCTGGAGGGCTATAAGATCATAAAGAGTCAGATACAACTGAAGCAACTTAGCATGCACTCACTCATTAAATTCATTACATAATAAAACACTGTTACCTCCTGTCATTTCCCAACACATCAAAGAATCCAACCTCAGGACAAGTGTCTGGATTATATGGGCCCATAAGAACCTGCTTATGCAGTGCCACAAGTTTCAGTTTTTCTTCATAAGTTGGATGAAATGCTTTCCCATCTTTTTCTATAACAAAAATAAACACAAAAACAATTAGCACTGGCAAAATACTACATTTTCAGCACTCTAGGTTGAAATTCTGGTATAAGGTATATCACAAATTGCCTGTGAAATTTATATTGCCTATAAAAACCACTGTAGGAAGATTTTTATTTCAAGTACTAAATTTTAATAATCAAAGCCAAGATAAAAAAACTGCATGCTGAGTTAATTTTTTAAAATAAAGTTAAATACTAATACTTATGTTAAAACTACTACAAAGAGTAAATCAATTAAAAAAAAAAACTACTAAAGAGAAACCAATGTCAAGCAACAGTACGGCATACACACACCAGTGCACCACTTAACATCTTTTTCGAATACTAAAAATGTTCAGAAACCATTTTTTAAAATAAGTTCAAAAATTTTTATATCAAGCATTTTAAGTAAGAGATATATGCATAGGAGATTACGTATAATTTGAAAGACTATATTCAAAATGTACCCATCCCACTGAAACAGTATAATGTGGTGGAAGGGACTTTGGAATCAGACATCCTAGGTTTAGATCTTATCTCAGACACTTCCTAGCTATAGGACCATTGAAACTCTTAGTCTGTTTATCAATAAAGAGTCTTTTCTACTTCAGAGGTAATAGGACAATATTAATGGTAATAACTGTTGGGTCTTTCCTCTGCTCTGGCAGGTTGCCAATGGGCAATTACAGTGAAGCCAGTATGACCCACAGAGACTTAACTACCACTAGGAACACTTAAAAGCAGTATGAGACTGGGTGCTGACAAAACAGGAAATCCTACTTCTGTGATAAATGGAAGTGTTAGTTACTGGTTGGTTCTAATGATAAGAGACTACCAAATTTTAAAACAAAAAAGGAGGTAAAAAGTAGTGTCTACTGCCTACAAATTTTATCCATGTACAGAGCAGTCACCAAAAGAAAATTACTCATGATAAGAGAAGAATGTGGTTTAAAGAATAGTTCATATACTGTTCAAGGAATCTTAAAGAGGAGAAAAAAAAATACAAGCTGCCAATAAGCATCCCAAAACATTCAATTTCACTAGTCAAGGAAATGGAAACTGAAAACATTAGATACTCAAGATGTTGTCTACCATCAGATAGGTCAAAAAAGTTAGGTCATCAAGAGTTGGTAAGAACAGGACAAACAGGTACCCACTCTCAATACACTCATGCTGAAAGTATAAATTGTTAGTTATCTTAGAGGGAAATCAGGCAATATATTCCAAAATTGTAAATACAGATGCCCTATGGTCCAGTAATGCAAATTCTCATCATCTACTCTCGATAAGCACTCCCAAATACACAGAAGGAGGTGGACACAGGAATATTTTCATTGCAGCACTCTTTTCTTATTACTGTAAACAACTTAAAAGTTCATCAATAAGGAAACAGCTAAATAATGTGGCATAGTCAGTCTATGGAATAAATGAAGTAAAGGAAATATCTAGAGTGGGAAATGGCAACCCACTCCAGTATTCTTGCCTAGAGAACCCCAGGATAGAGGAGCCTGGTGGGCTAGAGTCCGTGGGGCCGCAGAGCCAGACACAACTGAGTGAGTGAGCACAAAGGAAACACAGTTAAATGAAAAAAGCAAGCTGCAGAAAACTATATACAATCACACAGCACAAAATATATTATCTTCAATTCTAAGTACTCCCCCAACCCACACTTTAACATCTCTAAAATCAGATTAGTTTTTACATCTATTGTATTTTATAGTTGTAACTGGCAGTTTTTCTTTCTTCACAGTATGTAATAGTAAGTCTTAGAATTGATGAAATACAGCATGTAGCACACCCATATATATATTCTATGGGTACATTTACATGCATGTAAATGCAAAGAAAAAGATCTAGACGGAGTCACACTAAAAAGATGAAAATGAGGAGTAGTGATCAGAGAACTTAAAACTAGAAATATTTTAATCTTTCAGAGGAAAATATTCAGAAGAACAAACCAAACTGTTAAAGAGAGTGGGGACTGAAAAGAATTACATCTATGTACTTCTATATAATTATATATACATATACTTCAATCTGAATTTTTTTCAGTAAGAACTCATCAATACTTGAAAAAAGACAAAACTGTGGCACTGACCTTATTTATATTTAATAAAATTTGTAACAACTCAGAAACCTGTGGACCTGCCCATATGTCTTTGTTACTGAGCAAACAGTATCACTAAACAATTAGTACCAGAAATAGGAACTTCCTCTAAAGTTTTTAGAACAGGATTATGCATAGGTCTATATATACCAACTAAAAGGCAGTTCCCATTTTAAAATCTAACTCTTAGAAGTCTGTTTCAATTAAGAACACTATAAGACCTTTTGTATATTCATTCGTTCAACTTAGTAAATATTTATTGATCCCTTGCATGCAAATCATAGTGCTAGACACCAGGATTCATCACCCTCCTGGAGTTTACAAACCACTGAGCTCAATTAACAATGTGTAACTTGGCAATCCAGTATATAATTATATCTAGGTGTATATTTCAGGTATAAATACACGGCAAACAAATTATTAAAAATTATACTGAGATAAAGGAACAATTATTTTAGAGTTTAGGAAAAAAAGGTCAAAAAGGTAATAACATGACTTGTTCCAACTGTTTAGGTTGGACCAGGAGATACGTTTAATTTCAAGGTAATATATAATAAAAATAGAGGAAAATAGATAAGTGTAGAAAACAAAAATACATCTTTACATTATCTCTCATGAAAAAACCAACAAGTCTAATGAATTCTTTTCTAAATACTGCCTTGAAAAATTATCTTAGCAAGAAAAACAGTGTTACACCTGTTCACTGCTGCGTTATTTAAAATCTAATTATTCAACAATAACACAATACTTAAATTACAGTAATCCACTGAATAGACTATACAGCTATTTAAAATGACAATATAAGGACTATATATCATTTCAGAGAATACTTATGAAGTATTAATGAAAACAAGCAGAATAAAAAGATACTAAAAAATAATTTTATGCTTACAACCATGCAAAAATGGGTGATTACACATATAGATCTTTCTTTTTAAAAACAAAATTAACCTGCCAGAACTCTGTATTCTAAGATAATAGTGTTAAAAAAATGTGAAATAGTGGCAACTTTTTACCAAAAAGCCTTTTTCAATTTTCAAGATGCTCGTAAGCTTCTTTTAGCATCTACCTTAATTTTGTACATATTAGTCACCAAAGTTTTCTTATATGCTAATTACCTCTCAGAGAAACAGCCCAGACAACTTTCTTCTCACACCCCCCAAAAGTGATGATTTGAAAAACAGCCCCAACCTTGATCTTAGCTTACGAGTTGAAAGATAAACAAAAAAGGTGCCAACTTAACTGTTCATGTTATCTTGAGCCTTACAAAAGAAAAATATGCTGCTGGTGATCTGAGAGAAAAAAAAGAAGATATAGTGAGCCTGAGAAACACTGAGGGTAGACAGCATACCCTCAAGGGTAGACTCTTTGCTTTGTTCCAAACATCAGGATCCCTGGAATTTTGTTTCTCCTTAAAAAAAAAAAAAAGCCTAAATTCTGTTAAAGTGGTTGCTTCAACTCCTTCAATAAAGATAAAGATAAAAATCAATAAAGATAACATCAAATGGAAACTTTATTCACTGAAGACCACTTTTCTGATCAGTCATGTAATACAGCAATTTTCAAATACACACACACACAAATTCTTATTTGCTTCAGGGAGATGATTTGAAGCTGACAGACAGGACTAGTGGGTATGAAAAAAGTATTTTAGGGCTTCCCTGGCGGCTCAGTGGTAAAGAATCTGCCCTCCAATGCAGGAGACATGGGTCCAACCCCTGAGCTGGGAAGATCCCAAACGCTGCAAAGCACCTGAGTGAGTGTGCCTCAACTATCAAGAGCCCACGCTCTAGAGCCCAGGGGCCGCAACTACTGAAGCCCGTGTGCCCGAGGCCCCTGCTCTGCACAAGGGAAGCCGCTGCGGCGAGAAGCTCGGGCACAGCAACTCGGGAGGAGCCCTCTCTGTTTAACAAACAGAGAAAAGCCCGCACAGCAACCAAGGCCCAGCACAGCCAAAAACAAAATCAAAGTTAAAAGTACGTATTTTTTTTAAAGATGGCTCATATAAAGTTACTTTAATGGAGGGAGGGTCCATTTCTTACCAAGAGATAAATCTGCTCCTTTACTTCAAATATTCGGCAGTGCAAACTAGAATTAGCGGGCCACAGGAGAGGGTGAGTCAACAAGGAAACTATCCACTATTCAGCAAAGTGTTAGTCTAACCTTGACCCTAAAAGGTGACTCATCAACGGGGGGTGGGGGGTGGGGTGGGGTTCAGGATATTTAGATGCCATTTTAACATCTGCCCTTTATATGCCAGACAGGATTAAGAATATACTGCCAATCCATAAAGGCTTTTTCAAAAGAGGAATATGTTTTTAAGTGTTAAGTTCTGGTCAAGCGCTCAAATTTGCTCACCGTCATGAACGCCAGTGCTAAGCACAAACTTTGTTAACAGGCATTCACCGCACCAAAACCATGCCCAATAAATCTCTCTAAAGAAGAAATTGACTGTAAAGGTCAATCTCTGTGAGAATAAAACAGTACATCCATTCTCATGAATTTTACTGGTATTTCCACAGAATCTTTATACATTTGCTAATTTTTCTTTTTTCCCCGTCTTATTTGATTCTCTGAAATGACAAACAAAATTGATAAACCTTGAAAAACTCATCAAGAAAAAAAGGGAGAGAACGCAAATCAATAAAATCAGAAATTAAAAAGGAGAAGTTACAAGTGACTCCACAGAAATACCAAGGATCCTAAGAGACTCCTATAAGCAACTATATTGACCGCTAAGGGATTAGTCTCCAAAATTTATAAAGTTGCTTCAGTTGTGTCCAATTCTTAGACACCCTATGGACTCTATCCTGCCAGGCTCCTCTGCCCATGGGATGCTCCAGGCAAGAATACTGAGTGGGTTGCCATGCCCTTCTCCAGGG